GAGACTTATTTACATGTTTTCTCATTTCAACTGTGGCACGGGGCTGTTAGCACCTGCACGGATTACCTCCTCTGAGCTGGGAGAGGTGGGACAGGGGCCGGGAGCAGTGGTAGGGATGGTGACCCAAAAGCCCTTTCCTGTGGGCTGGGATCAGCGGGAGGGTTGGTGGCTGGGAAGCCCCTTCCTCTGGACCAGGAGCAGTGGGATGGTGGCTCAGAAGCCCCTCCCTCTGGGCCGGGAGCTGTGGGAGGGATGGTGGCCTGGAAGTCCCTTCCTCTGGGCCAGGAGCAGTGGGACAGAAGGTGGCCCCAAAGCCCTTTTATCTGGGCTGAGAGCAGCGGGAGGGATGGTGACCAGGAAGCCCCTTCCTCTGGACCTGGAACAGTGAGATGATGGCTCAGAAGCCCCTATCTCTGGGCCAGGAACAAAGGGACTTGGTACCTTGGTCTGGTGGTCTGGTGTCCTCTGCGTCTTTGTAGTGTGGTACCAGGTGGCTGCCTGTCTGCAGCAGGGTGATTCGGTGTCTTCTGCATGACTCAGGACCTTGGTAGGGCATGCACAGACCTCTAAAGTACAAACTTACACTCATAGTTTATGAATCTTTGTTCTGAATGGGAGGGTATTTGGGGACAGAGGACACACCCTGAACTCTCTCTGGTGATAGCATTAAGGTGGCTAGTCTATCATCTTATTCAAACCTCTATTCTAGAGCCATTAAATAGAATATGTAGGAGCCCCAGCGATTTCTAAAGCTTGCCTGAGATAGGAAGATACACCACTGTGCCAGTGGGCAGTCTGGATATCTACATGCAAGTCTTTGTCAGATGCTCTATGCCCAGGCACCAGAAGAGAAATGCTAGGAGTGGAATGAAAGTGGAAGTAGAAAAGTCCCACTGATGGTTCTTAACAGTATCTGCCCTTCCCCTGATGTCTTCTACCAGCTTTCAATGATAGTACAGTTAACTATGATGTTCAGAAGAGAGAGCAAAACATTGGAGCAGCAGCCTGGGTCAGACTCTTATATAACTGCCATAAAATATCAGAACTGCCTCTCTGTCAGGTGCATGGCCTGCTAGCCCAGCACTTGTCTGGCAGTATCACCAAGGCACTGAGTTACAGCAGGATATGGGGCTTTTCCTTGATGTCAGCCTCAAAAGTTAACTATGCTCCCAAGCATCCTATTTTTATAGTTTCTTTTAGAAAGTCACTATGTTTTTATCACTCATTTGTTCATTGTAAATCTAGTCTACTTTATCAGTCCCAAGAAATTGAGGATTTTCTTTTCTTTTTTCACCAGAGGACATAGTTTGTCCACTTTAAAGCCAGTGTGAGTCCTACCAAGATATTCCTATGGTAAAAGGAATCCTTCTCTGCTCACTTGCTCTAAGTTTTTTAAAAAAATTATACATATATTTTATTGGTACATTTTAAGTGTACAATATAATGGCATTCATCGTTGGAAATATGTACCTTAATATAATCTTTCTTGGTTCTTATTTTTTCTCCATTCCTCTGCTCTCCTTTCAACCCCTCCACCCCTTCATATTTACAAAGACTTTGATTCCATTTCTTCATTTTCTCATATTAATTCCCTTCCATTCTTTCCTTTCCCCAATCTCTCCCACTTTCCTTTCTTCTTTGGACCTTTTCTTCCTATTTCACAGTATCTATTATGCCTTTTGATTTTTATAGACAAAGAAGTAGAAGTAGCAAATAAACATATGAAAAAATGTTCAACATCACTGGTCTTTTGAGAGATGCAAATGAAAACAATGCTGAGATTCCACTTCACCCCAGAAAGAATGGCTGCTATCATGAAATTAACCAACAACAAATGCTGGCGAGGCTGTGGGGAAAGAGGAACACTGCTCCACTGCTGGTGGGAGTGTAGACTGGTGCAACTATTGTGGAAATCAGTATGGAGATACCTCAAAGAACTAGGACTGGAAGTCCCATTTGACCCTGCTATCCCCCTGCTGGGCATCTTCCCCAAAGAATTAAAAGAATCATACCACAGTGATACATGTGGACCCATGTTCATAGCAGCACAATTTGTAATAGCTAAAACTTGGAAACAGCCCAAATACCCATCAACTGGAGACTGGATAAAGAAAATGTGGGGTTTTTTAAATAAAATGGAGTACTACTCAGCCATAAAAAATGAGAAATTAGAGACATTTATAGCTAAATAGATGCACATTGAATCGATACTCTTAAGTGAAATAAATAGGACACACATGTATAAATACCTCCCAAATTTAAAGACCCAATCCAAAAATGGGCATCTGAAATGAACAGACATTTCTCAGACAAAGTAGAAATAGCAAATAAATATATGAAAAAATGTTCAACATCACTGGTCATGCGAGAGATGCAAATGAAAACAACGCTGAGATTCCACCTCACCCCAGAAAGAATGGCTGCTATCATGGAAGCAACCAATAACAAATGCTGGCAGGGGTGTGGGGAAAGAGGAACCCTGCTCCACTGCTGGTGGGAGTGTAGACTGGTGCAAGCACTGTGGAAATCAGTATGGAGATACCTCAAAAAACTAGGATGAGAGGTCCCATTTGACCCAGCTCTTCCCCTACTGAGTATCTTCCCCAAAGAATTAAAAGAATCATACCACAGTGATATATGTGCACCCATGTTCATTGCAGCACAGTTTGTAACAGTGAAAACTTGCTCTAAGTTTTTCTACTGTCTAGATGGTAATGTTGGGGAAAACTGACAACATGGGTAGCAGAGTGGGGCCTTGTGTCTGACAAATGGCATGAACTCAACAAATGCCTGTAAAATGACCAAATATGTGAAAGCTTTCAAATTTAGAAATGGACTGCTGATCATGCACAACCACTCACCAGTGTCCCTAGGTGTCCAGCGTCTCCTGTTGTTCTCACCTTCAGTAATAATCAGAAGGAATGGATGTGGCTGTGTTCTATTTTTCAGGTGGCATTTCTGGTGGTGCTGGCCAGCTTTGGGATACAATCTCATGGATTTGAGGTGAGTTGGTTCCTTAGAGGCATTAGGAGAGGAAAAGGAAGATAAAAGATAATCGGTACTAATATGCCCTATTTGGGATAGAATCCCAGAAATACCCAATAATAAAAATGATGAGGGGGATGAGATGGTTATTTTAGTCTAATCACAATAGCTTTATAAATATAACCCATTGCTTTAAAACGTGGTCAGTCTTATTTCTCTTGGGATGTCATTGCTTCTCCCTTACATACTATGGTAAACTATAAAGAAAAGCTTTGCATTCTTCTTTGAACATGGCTTTTTGCCTGGGATCCCTGTGGATACTCTTCAGCCTTCCATTACTTGTTCATAACAATTAGTAAGCTTTGTTTTGCTGAAAGAGCTACTTTTCAAATGCATGGGATTTGTGGAAAACTCACTGTATCTTTGTTGTTATTATTTCTAGGTTTATAACCTCTTCTACCCAAGAAACAATGGTGGTAATGTTCAGGAGACGGTGCAAGTTGACAATGAAAAAAATATTGCCATTGTTGACATCCATGCAGGGTCATGCTCTTCTACCACAATTTTTGACTATAAACATGTAAGCAGCAAGGAGACTTTTATGTTTTCAGGACAATTTTCTTAAGGGCAGAGGGATATCCATTTATTATATATTTAAATTATAAGAGCTATCTTTGCAATTCCTTAAGAATTTTCTCAATTCTGCTTCTTTCTTTAAGTAATCAAAATAATTGATTAACCAACAAACAAAAGCATTTCTAAGAAACAAATACAACAGGAAAAAATACGCATTTACTTGACTTTTTCAGATGGAAATTGGAAGAGAGGTGATATTGTCCCATTATAAGCTCAAAAAGAAGAATGATCAAAACCATGAATGGCACTTAGACTCTCAGGCATATTTCTCAAATAAATAAATGAATAAAGCAATACTTCTAAATCAAAATATTATGCAGAAAAAGAATAATCACAGAGCAATCACAAAACAGCAGAAATCCAGAGCAACTAGACACATTTGGTTCTATTATATAGGTAATATCATGCTTCTTTTGTAAGAAGTAATTTCAAGTTTTAGTTACTCATATTAACAAGAAGTCTCAGAAACTGGCTCTGAAAACTTGTTCTCTATATAGGTACCATATCTGCATTTTTCCAGTAGCTAGCTATCTGTGGCTATCTGTGGCTATTGAGTACTCAAAATGTGTGATGAAAAAAATACATTTTCAATTTTATCTAATTTGAATTTCAATTTAAATAGTTACATGTGGTTAGTAACCATGATATTGGTCAGCACTGCTGTAAAGAATGTTGTATTTTACTTATAAATGGGAAAGGACAGAATAGAATCAATCAAAAGAGACAAGAGACCTGCCTCTTTCCAGTCTTTCAAATCCCAAACTGCAGACTCTGATTCTTAAATATGGAGGATAAACACAAGTTATGAGTTTTCACAAAAAGGGTAGGAGTGACAAATAAAATGCAAATAAACATGCTATGCCAAAGAAGTTTAATGGACAGAACTAACTGCAGATTGAAAAACGATGACATCCTTTCATGGTGCATGTTTAAGCCCTTCCTCTAAGACCCAGACATCTTCATCAAATTTAGAGTCCAGGACACTGGGAAGGAATAGTAACTGTGCTTTTACTGCTCAGGGATACATTGCATCCAGGGTGCTTTCCCGAAGAGCTTGCTACATTTTAAAGATGGACCATAAAGCCATCCCTGCTCTGGACACACTCCAACGGTACATCTATGAGAAGCAGGTAATTCTGGGGCACCCTTGAAAAAATTTCTGTTCTTAAGCCATACAAGACTGGTGCCTATGGAGAAATGAAGAGAGTAGGAGAAAAGATTATAGTATTATACCTTACCGTGAATATGGTACTCAGCTTATCAAAGTATTTTTGCTTTTTTCTCTTGAGGAGTACACTTTGGCTTGATTTATACCATACAGTCCTAAATCATGAACTTATAATAATTCCAGTGTCATGGAAAGAATTGATCAGCCTCTCTTCTTAGCATGAGGCTGTAAGAAATAGTCTTACACCCAAATAGGGAGATAAATGAGTCAAGGTATAATACTCAAAGACACAAAGATCCAAAGAAACCATATGACAGAGTGAGAATACACAAACACTGCACAGAGGACAGACACCTAGGCTTCAGCTTCTCTCACAATTTCTCCTCTGTGCCATTTTTGGGTGAGATTTACCTTCTCTGGGGTTCATTGCCACCAGGAGTAAAATAACACTGGCAATAATGGTTTCTCTGCAGACAGATTAGTCAGAAAGAGAGGATATTTTGAGATCCCTGACCACTCTCTGTTTAGTAATTTGAAAGAGAAAAGCAGTCATGATTTAGATAAAGTGCACAAAATTCACCAATTAATTCAATGCTTTCGTTCTGTTATACTGATTAGACTTTGAACACCATGGCCTCTGGCAAATACACCTGGGTTAGGGATAACCCTCTGAAGTCTTTGATCACCAAAGTGGACTGGTTCCTGTTTGGGTCACCTATTGAGAATCTCTGCAAGCACATGCCCTTATATGAGGGGGAAGTGGTTGAAAAGTCAGGTAAGTCATTCTTTCACCGAATCTTTTCTGCCAATTACAAATAAATGAAAACTTGACTTAATTCAGTTTCCATACTATGTGTGGAAATTGTGCTAAATGGTAGCAATACAGAAAGGAATAAAATTCTGCTTCTGTAAAACACATAGTCTAGTGGAGAAATGGATGAATATAAACGAAAGGTGGGATAGGAAAGGATTTCTGAGTGTCAAGGAAAAACTGGGATTCTCTTCCTGTGTGAGAATTTCAGGTAGAAAGAAGGTCTTCTGAGCCCTTAGAATAGCATCTTTTGGAGATGACTAGAAGGAAATCACTGAGAAATGACCTCAGAGTCTATAATAGAATTGGCCCAGGAAAGAGCAGGCAGAGTGCACTGACAGAATAAAAGCTCTGTTTTATCCAGGCAATGGAGCACTGTAGTCATTACTGAATTTTGTACAAAGTTTCTGATGAATATGACAAATATAATTCCCCAGAGTAGTGGAAGGTAGATAGAGAAGAAAAATATTAGCATTTATTACTTTTAGTACTGCCTAGAAAAATATTTAAATACAGCACTTATAAAGGCTTAAAAGAGGGCCATCAACACAAAATGTCATAGAATCAACTAGGATTGAGCTACCAACACTTTTAGAAATTGTTAATCTTACTTAAGTCACTATACTATTATTCTTTGGCTTGTAGATATAGCTAAAATTTTGACTACCATGAAGTTACAAGTACAACCCCTATGAAAGATATTTGCAAAAAGCATTGGTTTGTTGCATCTCAATATAATTTTAATGTCCTCTCTTTAAAATGTTTTCCTCATTCCAGATCATGATGGTGGTAGAGGCTGTGTCAAGGCTGGGCTCCTGGGCATCTTGGGAATTTCCATCTGTGCAGGTTTCCATGTTTAGAATGATGGTCAGCCAATTGATTTTATCTTTTCAGAAGAATATACCTTGGCTTCCATTCAGAAGCCAAATTCAATACTTAATATCCTATCTAATTATGAGATTCCACAATAAAACATAAATGCTATATTTGCAGATATCCGGGTGTTTGTTCTTTTTATAAGAAGCAATGGGAAACCAAGCAGTGTTTATGTCAATATATAGAAGAAAAAAGTGCCAAGATTTTAAATGAGGTGCATAATGTATGAAAGTTTCCAGGTAATATATTGGGTCACATGCAGCTGAAGCAGCAGGTTGTGAGTCTCTCTCTCTGTGGGCATCCACCTGCCAGACCAGCTTTCCTGGGGGGCTCAGAAGGCCATGACCCTGACCAGTGAGGGAGGGGGCCTGGTTTAACCTTATCAAACAACTTGATTATTAAAGTGAGGGAAAATATCCCCTCTGACAAAGCTCTCAGCTTTGAGGGCCATTCATGTGCCTTTTAGGAAATGTCTTGTAACTCAGAAAAACAGGAGATTCAAACTTAAGGAACACTATTATGTGCTGAACCAGAGTGAGCACAAGAGGAGGGAGGAACACCAAACACTCAGGAAAAGATGTGCTGAAAATCCTACCAGGAATGAAAGCCTAATTGGGAATGCCAAGCCAATAAATAGCAGGAAAGCAATTTCCGAAATTTCAAACAAATTGCACCATGTGGGCAAATTCCCAGATCAAATACCCGGATCTCATGTAGTCTAGCCAGCTCGATGCAAGTTCAGAACAAAGAGGTACTACTTTAACAAAACTTTTTATGTGCCATCGACTACTGCTATTCCTAATACTATACATCTACTTCTTAGTTGCCATCAGTGAATCTATTTTAAGCACTGTGCTTAATCGCATGTGCTTAGCCATGGGACTGGTATGTTGGGAGAAAGCTAACACAATGAACAAAGTTATTTTATTGTCAGGGAAATGAGCCATTGATATAAAAATGATTCATTACAATAGTAAAGAATATATAATAAAGTACCAAGTCAATGGTAGAATATTTGAGCTGGGACCTTGCTATTTGCAAGTGATGAAACCCAACTCAAATTTGCTGGAGCCCATGGAGAGTTTATTATCTCATATAAGTGCCTCTGGAAGAAGATAATCCAGGTAGCTAGAACTAGGTGCTTGATGATAGCCAGACTATCTTTCCCTATATTTCAATTCTCCTTCTTCCTACATTTCAGCCTCAGTAACATGAGAAGATCACCAGCATGACTGCCAACTCCAAAGTCCTCTTCCCAGCTTCATTGCCAGAGAGGACGGGACACCTCTCACTTCTTTTTCAAATTAGTTTTAATCTAAAAATAACTCTGGAGATGACACTAATTGGCTCACACTGGGCGCATTCTGGATTGGTAAGGGTGGGATTTGGTACAGGAAAGGGTGTTATGATTTGGTAACCTCCTTTGGAACTTACAGTTATACTTTGCATGTTTATAATATTGGTCTCATTTCAAAGGTGGAACATACCAGGCACAGGCCTAAATAGAATGTGTCCAAATGGAGGCTTCAAAGAGGTGGGGGCTCTGTATTATATATGTTCTCTCAATTAGCCCCTTTTCAGGGGCTGAGGAAAGTAGATATCAAGGCTGTTATTTTACAGGATGCTCCCTAAGCCATCAGGTACATGGAGCAAGCCTGGACCGAACACAACATATACACAACTCTAGGAGAACAGTCAGGGTTCTATGCTGGCTGGTGATGATGCAGAAGATAAACATGCTATAGAGATTTTCACAGGAAGTTGGGTGAGACCTGTAGATGGTTTCTTATATTCTCTAAAGTTTTATTCCTTACAGAAGGTGCCCTGCCACTTTCACATGTGTTCACCTGAGGTAGACTTAAATATGTATGATTTGTTTATTCAGAGATTCCAGGGTTGGAATATATAGAACCGAATATATGATGTTTGGATAAGTAATTCAATACATGCCCTCAAGCATTAGCTAACCAAACATAATAATTTGATGAGTTAATAAAATATTAAGAGTGCTAGTTTCTGATAATGGTAAAGTAGTTATCAGACTAACCCTCTGCCATAACAATTATAAGCCTGAAAAATATAAAAAATGATTGAAGGTATCAGAGTAACCCAAAGCAGGCAAAAACTAAAGGGGGTGTGACCTTTTGAAGAAATGCTCATTTATCTGTTGCTGATTACAGTTGTAAGATATTCTTTGGCAAAGAAAAGTCCACTGATTATCTGATCCCTAGTCCCTGCCTCCCTCTTTTCTGCTAACAGAAGCCCAGTTTGTTTAAGTAGCAGTTAATAATAAGTAGTCATTTAGTTCCAGGGGATTGATCATGATTAGTCTAAGTCAGTGACTTTCAACAGGGATGTGATTTTTTTTCTTCCTTCCTCTGGTGACATTGAGTCACAATGGGAGAGAATGTTACTGTATCTAGTGGATAGAAACCAGGATGCTATTAAACACCCTGTCATACATAGGGCAACCCCCACAGTAAGAACTTTCTGGCTCAAAATGTGAATATTGTCAAGGTTGAGAAAGCCTAAAACAATCTTGGTTTTCTTAAGAAAATAAGATAATATCATTTTCCTTGGCCTGTGATAGGCCCATGGGCTGCCATGTGAGAAGTAAGTGGAAGACTACTGGGTGTGGGTTCCAGGAAAGATTTTTTTCCTGATAAAGAGGAGCAGACTGAGTTGACACCCAACTCCGCCCCTTTTCCTTTTGTGTTATCTATCCTTCCTTCAATATGGATATGATGCTTGTGTGAGAAGATACATCAACTGTTTTAGGATCAAGAAGTAACAGTCTTGGAGTGGAAAAGTTCAGGAAAAGAGAGAAAGGGCTGGAATGCCTGATTGTATAATTTCAGAGCTGCACCAGCTCTGGACTTACATAATCCAGATCAGTCTCCATCTCTTTGGGTCACCGTGACTGGGTTCTCTTTATTTTGGGGCTGAAAGCATTCTTTGGAGATGCACCCAAAGGAGCCTGTTGTTATCCCAGTGAGTACACACACATCAGCACCTGGATCGCCTTAGCCCTGTTGCCTCCACTTCTCTCACCCCATGGCTTTGCAAATCCTAGGATTCCACCTTCCTGCTCTTATTGCAGAAAACCAATGCTGTGACTACTCATGGAGTGACTGGGAAGTACGTGTTACTTGAAGTTCACTGCCTGGCTCTGCTGAGCCTGCTGTTCCTTTTGTCAGCCAGACACCAGACCCAGGGCTCCCTCAGCTCTCAGGCAAATGTCTGAGGCTGGAGCCATGTTGATGCGAAGGGCTGAAAACACATTAAGACACTGGCAATTGTTTCCTGGGGTCTCAGGGCTTATCCAACTCTGAGGTGAAAGCATGTTCCTGAGCACTAGGGAAGGAGTTCCTGGCTGTCACGTGAGTCCCTCACATTTATGCTTAGCCTCTGACCTTAGGAAGGGACACACCAAGAACTCACTCCTCAAATGGTGCAGCCTACACTGCAGCCTTTTTCTGAAGTTGTCTTTGCATGCCCTTAGCACATGGCCATAGGAACATGATGCCTGGCCAAAGCCAACCATCTTGCATTCTGGCTCATGACTTTTCTTATTCACCCAAACTAATCACTACAATAGGGAGAATCCTAGGGCACTCACCAGCCCCTATTGTCTGACGTTGACCCCCACCTCCTGGTCTGCAGAGTGTGTTTGACTTTTGCCAAGAGAGCTCTTCATTTGCTCCACTGCTGCCCCTTTTTACTCCCATGGCCTGAGTTGTGGGCACGGTTTAGCTGGGGAGTGGCATGAGGGAACTTTCTGGGGCATTGGGAATGTTCTTCATCTTCATCTAAGTGATGGCTCCATGGAGTATATTTGTAAAATGCATTGAGCTATGCCCTTAAAATCTGCATTTCATTGTATGTTATATCTCAATAAAAGTGTTGATATATTTATAACATTTAAAGCACAACAGAATAAAATTCAGCAGTTCTGGGAAGTAAATTCACTGGTGATTGCTACAGCACAGCAGCCTTGAAAGTCCTGTGCTCTGGAGCCAGTCTAGGGCATCCTGGGCTGTAGTCCTTCCTCGGGGCCAAGGAGGGCAGTCACAGCTCCACTTGCATTGGGTGGCAGAGGCTGCCTGAGTGCAAAGCTCACCCACACTGACTGCTGAGATGTGGGCTAAGCTTCAAGGTGCTCTCCAGTCCAGGCAGGCAGCACAATCAAGACAGGCAGCACATTCTAAGCAGAGTAAAAGGCACTGCTTCTGATTATGCAGGGAATAAACACTTGGGTGCTTGCTAGTTGGGCCAGGTGAGCATGCCTTACCAACCTAAGCCAGAAAATTGAGCTTGGGGCCAGCCAGCTTGTCCCTGGGGCTGCTGAGAAGCAGAGTGATAGGGATAGTTTGAGGTAACTGGGACTGAGGATTTAGCTCAGTGATCCCATGCCTGCCTGGCAAGCCCAAGGTCCTGAGTTCAATCCTTGGTACGGAAAAAAAAAAAAAAAAAGTTGGAAGTAACTCTGTCTAGCAAGGAAGGGTTAGTGAAGGGAACAAGACTTTCTCCTAAAGTGAAACAGTTAAAGTAGGAGAGCTAAGTATTCAGGTCCTGTTTTAATTTGTGATGGAGACAACTACTCCAGAAGCCACCACGTGAGGCATTAGACCAGTCCCAAAGAGGCTCACTTGGGTTATTTTTAGAGACATTCATGGTAGAGGCTGGACCACCAGAGAACAGGCCTCTTGGAATCTTGGCTTCAGTTTTCAGGAGGCAAAGTCACAGCCTCAGACTCCAGAGTCCAGTCTGCTGTGCCCGGTGTCGTTGTTTATTGTCAAAAATTCTCAAGGAAGAGCTGGGCATGGTGGTGCACTCCTATAATCTCAGCACTCAGGAGGCTCAGGCAGGAGGATTGTCATGAGTTCAAGGCAGCCAGGGGCTACACAGTGAGTTCAAGGCCAGCCTGGACTACACAGCAAGACCCCATCTCACCCACCCCACCAAACAAAAACAAAAACAAGACCAAAAATTCTCAAGGGATTCTTCAGGGGACATCCTAAAGAAAAACTCTTGGAAACAAGAGTTGTATGACCCATGCCTTCTGCTGTGCACATGTGTAACATTCTGGATGTGCACTGCTGAGTGAGGACAGTACAGGTAGGGAGAGCCTGTCTGCTAGACCAGTAATGAAAGAAGCTTTATTATTGTAACCTACAAGGAGAAAGTACACTCATGTGGCCAGGTTACAGAGCTTGGCATTGTGTGGGAAGGCAGAGGTACAGAACTCAAAAGAGCAGCTTCTCTCTCACAGGCAGAGGCCAGGCTGGGTCCCCGGACACTGACCCCAGGTCAGGGGCCCAGAACAGGCGGATCCTCTCTCCACATGGCTGACTCAGCCTCAGAGCCCAGGAATCTCACCACAGATGGAGAGTCCCATGAAGGACAGAAGCTGGACTTCAAAACAGGAATTAGGGTCAATTTCCAGGGCAGTACCTGTAAAGTTTACAAACAGATGGACTTAAGACCCCAAAGCAGAGCAGATACATTATGAGTTGCACCTAAATTGAACATGTGCTCAGGAGGGTTCAACTAGCAAGAGACTGTGAGTCTGAAATGAAAGTGTCCCCTCTCTAACCCTCCTGCCACCCCTGGGAATAATTAGCTATGTACCTTCTTTTTCTATTGCTTTTACTGATCCTTAATTATCCTTCATAATTCCATACCCTCAAGTTCTCCATGGTTTCCTCCTCTTACAAAGAAGGCTTGCCTGTTGGTAAACTTATAATAAGGTACAAATGACTGGCAACAGCCTGATGGAGAGATGTTGCTGACTACATTTGGACCAGCAGGCAGATCGTGAAGTCTCTCCCAGCTGATCTCTACTGATGCCCATCTCATGCCCAGCAAGGGTGCCAGTCTCTGAGATGCTCCTTTCCTGGAGTGTTTTATAAACACTGGGGTCTTGCCTCCCCGAAAGAAGCTTGAGAAAGAGAAGGACTGAGGACTCCAAAGCCTCTCTCTAGTGGCGGGATGTGGGGCACTGTGTTGCTCAGGCAAGGGATGATGGAGCCTTGAGTCGGGTAAGGATATCCACTGGTGGTTAAACCCTGGGGTGAGATGCTGGCCTTGATCTTCTCATACTGGTAACTGGGCTCCCCATTCAAGGGACTGTGGTGTCATGAAATCATCTCTTCCAGCAGGGGGAATACACCCTAGGCCTTGCCATTCTTACACCACTAATAAAGCAGAATCAACTGTCATTAAAGTCTGCCAATGACCTACATCTCACACTACATCTTTGGACGCCCCCCCCCCCCAGTCTTGGCTTTCTAGGTGAATTGTTAACATACCTTTTTTTTGCTGCTGGGCAAAGTAGGTGGGGAACGCTCTGCACATATCCTTCATGGCCATCCCATACTGGGCTAAGTTCTTAACCCGGATGGGTAAAACAGTGTAGGTCAGGCCTCGGGTGGAGGGGTAATGGTTGGAAGCCTGGAAAAGGTATTATAGAAAAATGGTGAGACAATAAAGATGGTACAAGAAGGAGAAAGAGAGGGTCAGAGATTTAGCTCAGTGGCACTGTGCCTGCCTTGCAAGCGCAAGGTCTGTAGGCACCTGGCAACAGTGCTTGTGGGTGATTAAGTTGATGTAAGCCCAAACTTGCCCTGGAATTTTCACTAAATGCAAGATCCTACCTAGCCATGAGAAGGTGACACTACCCCAGAAAAATCTATAACCTCCTGTGTGTTACTTTTCTGTCTCTTCTTTTCATTCTGATAAAGTAGAATAGTTTAAGAATTATTTATTGAATTCATATTATGCCTTTTCTTATTAATTCAGACAAATAGAGCACATCTGACTTTTCCCTTTAAAAATTGCTTTATTTTTATGTAACTTGAAGTATAACTTGTACTTTTTTCCAAGAGTAGGCAAAGCCTCCTGCCACAGACATGTATTATCCAAATGTCCTCTATAAGTCATTTAAGCAAATGACAGCAGATTTCAACAACTTGCCAAGGACTTTCTGCTCATTTTTAACTTACTGTTAGCAATGATTCCTTTTGTCATCTAAGAGGTTAATGAAGAGAGCTTCCAAGGTCCTAGGCTTATTTTCAATTAAAGACTCTTTGTGTGTGTGTGTGTGTGTGTGTATGTGTGTGTGTGTGTGTGTGTGTGTGTGTGTGTGGTGCATGGGGAAGGAGAGAAGGCTAAGGGATATGAATACTGCATGAATTCACTCTAGCATGTAAAGTCAACAACTTACACTCGCTGACATGTGGCTTGAAGCCTTAAGGAATACTTCAGAATGCAGCCATTACATGGAATTTTCACTGACAAAATTATGATTTGTTTTGAATGCACCACTGACTGGGCTCAGAGTCTATTGTACAATGGTGTGATTTCATAGGCATTAAGAATGAGCATGAATTGGCTGGATGTGGTGGCACATGCCTGTAATCTCAGCTCTTGGGAGGCTGAAGCAGTAGGATCACAGTGAGTTCTAGGTTAGCCTTTACTACACAACAAGTTCAAGGCCAGGCTGGACTACATAGTGAGACCCTGTGTCAAAAAAAAAAAAAAAAAGAATGCTCATGAACTAAGTACCACATCCTCATCATGTGCACAGTATTGTGCTACGAGGTTGGATGCCAGTTAGAAAAAACCAGCAGAATGAGCTGGCCTCACTTACCTGGTTCACTAAGGCCTTGCTAATGTCATCGAAACTTGGGAAGACTGCTTGGTCCATCTTGGCCAGGACACAGGCCATCTTGCTAAATAGCTTAGCTGCCAAGAGGGCCTTAAAGCAACACAACAGAAACCTATCATTCAGTTTGTCACAATATTAAGGGACTCCCCATAGGCCCTGGCACCTTGCTTTCTTCCTACTGTGATGTGTGTTGCCCTGGACAACAGGGCAAAGGTGAACATCAGGACTTGCAGTGTATACCTACTGCTCCCCAGGGCTCTGTGTCCTTGTCCCCTATACTCTTGGTGGAGAGAGTTCACTCCCTAGGATTCCCCAGGTATTCTGCTACCACTAACAGACAGGTGTGACGGGAGGGGTAGGGACTTAGCTCTAATAACAAGGCTGAATTTAAGTTTCCATTCTGCTGCTCAGCAGCCTTCAGGGTCCTCAGTGGTCCACCCACGTCTTCAGTTTCTTCATCTGTACAGTAGGAAAACAGCCCCCCTCCCATGAAGCCGTCCTGAGGATGAGAAGGTGAAATGAGATGCTAGGGGCTCTTGAGTGTATTATGCAAGTTACAGTGTTCTCTTAGAATGTGAAGGGCTCTTAGGCTCTTTGGGTTGGGGGCACTAGACTCAGATTCCAGTGCTGGTCCTGCCCTGGGCACCCCTTCCATGTGGCCCTGTGTCTGTCATTTGGTCTCTCTCAGCTGGATCAGAGCAGTGGGTTTCTTCCAGCTGTGTCTGACAACCTGAGCACAAGGCTGCATCTGCAGAAACCAGTCTTCTCCAGCAAGTGTTCTGAGTTGTTGTGCTCCACCTAGTGGACTACTGTGGGATATTTTGTTGAAGAAAAGTGCATGCCTGCAAAATAATTAGAAATCACTAGACTGTGAGCCCTGGAAGAGGATCTGCGGACACATGCCACTGAAAAAATCAGGAGCGAGCTAGGTGAAGAACAAGGGAGATATCCAGGGAAGAGAGCATGGTAGGCATAGGTGGGAGTGGAGAGATGATAGACGTGGATGGGAGGGGCTGGCTGGCCGGGGCCGCTGGAACAGAGTGGGGAGCATGGTCTTTTACTCCATTTCATTCTTCAAGGCCTGCCAGGTGGGCAAGGTAGCAACTGGTGCTGTATCACAGATGTAGTGACTGAGGCCCACAAGGCTGAATGATGTCTCTGTGGTCGCAGTGCCTTTCTATCAGAGAGCTAGGCCAAGGCCACCATGCTCCCTTCCTAATCTTGCACCTTTCTGCTACTTCTTTCTACTCAGAGAGATGGTCAAGTTGCACCCAGAGCTTAAAAAGTGAAAATACATCATCCTTCTTTAGAAATAAACATTGAGATCTGGAATGGAGACAAAATGACTTCCATGACATATCTCCGTTATAAGAAATGGGGACTCTTTAAATGGCTTTCTTAATTCTGAGGCCTTTGGTGGCCACCTGAAGTGAATAATATCTCATAGGAACACAAAAGGATGCAGGATCCCTGTGGACCAGTGTTCTTCCTACAGTCTCTAGCTCAGGAAGAAGTCACTGTGACTGGAGGGAAGCTTGGTCCCTTACCTATAGACATGCATTTCCACTGAGGGCCTAGACCTAAAGAAGGCCAATGCAGATAGTATCCTTGCTGTCTGGGAAAGGATTAAGCTATATTTCGGAGCAGACAAGGTTTTATTTGGCATTGTAATTAACATATCCCATATCCCACATCTTACATTCTTGTAGTCCAAGATTCCATCCCATTCACTCAAAACATTGTTGTCTCGGATGCTGACTATACCTCGGAAGGCATTGACATGGATGACTTGAGTCCCAACAGATCTATCCAGAGGATGGTTGTCACTGATGTTCTGGGGAAAACCAAGCGACAGTGAAGAAAGCTGAAAGTTTAGAGTTTGTACTTTGTCCATACCTTGCAGGTTTAGGGATGCCTGCAAGAAATTTGAGGGGTGCCTTCCTTGATTATCACCTTTGGGATACTTCTGCTTAAAGTGGTCTAGACAGATTGTGCACCCTCCACCCTACTCACCATCAGAGCCAGAGATGGAGATCGGAAGATCACCAGGATGGAAATGACAATCTGAAATGCGAATAAATATTAGTGAACTTTTTTCCTTGGCCTCAGATGAGCTTAGAATCCTAAAGCCCTGCTAGGATCAGAGCCTTCTTAACATTTTAATATAAGAAGTGATCTAAATATATGGTATATATTTAAATTCATTTTTTATTAAAATAAAAGACTCATTGCCATTAAACCCCCTCAAAATACTTTTCCTCCTTTCAAGCACACTTATCCCATTGTTCTTGCCACTTTCTGAAGTAGTTCTGGAAGTCCTCTTTCATGTCTTTACAAGGCATGATAAAAAATACTGAAAATGCTGCTGCCAAGTGCCATTCAATGGAAAGGCTTGTAAAAACATTATGGTGTGTCCTCATTCACCTTATTCACTGGATCTGGTATCATACAGCTTCCACTTTTTCCTCAAAGTCAGAATGATCAGGAAAGATAAGCATTTTGAACTGATGCAGGATATGGAGGCAGCCATGACAGTACAACTACAGACACTCACAAAAGAAGGCTTTAAAACTGCTTCAGAAAGTGTCAAGAATGATGGGATAAGTATGTTTAAAGCCAGGAGGAGTATTCTGAGGGAAATTAATGAAAATTTGTTTTTCTACTGTAATAAAATTTTAAAATGTAAACATTCACTATGTATTTTTTATTACATCTTTGTACTCTTCACCATCTCTCTTGCCCATGGGGCCTCACTGTATATCAGGAGTCTGTGGTTCAGTGTGTTTAAATGAGGCATGCTGACTACACAGGAGGAAAGTGTACCATTCCCTCAAGGACATCTCTTTTGTTGCTTCTGCTGCTGATCAATGGATGGGATATCAGGCAACCCCACCCACCACTTGATCTGTACACAAGGCAGGACCATCCCAGACTAAACCATAATTGCAGTTGTAATCCAGGTCCTTAGTCTTCTTTTCTCTACCTTCCTCTCTAATTCCAATCACTGGGGCAGCTCTTCTGGTTCAGGTCTTCATCTAAACTCCAAATCACTTGGTTGGCCCTACACTGCCCTCTGTCTACCCCTCTGGAAGCTGATACCCTCCTGATTTCCTTTCCATTAATTTTTCTCTCCTTGCCTGAGAATATAAAGGCCATACACCACTTTACACTTAATTTTGAAAGAGATTGCATGTTAACGTACAGTGTAACTCTTATAATAATTGTACTTAATCATTTCTTAGTGTGTCCTGCCCTGTCTGGTGAGGAAATTTTAGGCGTCAGAGAATAAAAGAAATAATTTAGGGGGGGATAGAAAAAGGCTAGCGTAAGAGAGTTCAGCAGGAACTTTTCCTCACCCCCAATAGATTATTATCTAGATGATGTAAGGCTTCCCCAGCTCAAGAGTACTCACTGCATCAGCCCAAACTGACAGGAACTCCCCCTCTCCCCCATCCCAACAACATCCATGCAATAGTCCATATGCAGTTCCAATAATAAAAAATAAAAGATATCGTCAGAAGAAAATGAAGCAGCTACTTGATGACTGATAAGCATAGTGCGGTGAGGTCAGCCAGCAAGATACATGAGATGGGAACGCAACAGGGTCTTGTTAAACTTTGCAAGTTGATGCCATATATGAAATAAATCCAGAGCTTTTCTTTACTGGTGATTTGTAAATAACCTAAACAGCAGAAGATGGACCCAAAATATAGGTATTTACCTAACTCCCAAAGATTCTTGACCTTGAAGAAGTTAGTTATTAGTTCTTTGAAGAAGCCCCGTCATTTAGATATTTCAAAACAGACTTGCCAAAGAAAGATTATGTGCCAAAATAAGATTTAAAATTTAAAAATTCTATTTGGGTTTAAATCAAAGAGTCCATAGAGGAGAAAAAGAACTTCCCCATGGCTATTTTGATTCTGAGAAAAAAGCACCTACATTTGAAATGAGAACATGTACTTACAAGGTAGTTCATGCTGTCTCTCTCAAGACCTTATACAACTGCATGCATAATAGAGTTTTCTATGTCTCATTTGTTTTCTAAAGCTGGTTTATATAGTCCCAGGCCTTTTAGTTATTGCCATGATAAAGGGCTCTGGGAGTAGTTAACCATGATCCAGATACTATTCAGGGGAGAAAAAAAAAAGCCAGCTTATATAATTACAGTTATCACTTTTCTTTAACTACATCTGAGTACATTTCCCCTTTCTCCTGATACCTCCACTGGTTCCAAGGCAAACATGGGATATGAACGAGTCTTTGTAGGCTGGCATATCCATGACCTTAGCCACTAAGGTAAGGATTGCAACAGTTGATCCCACAAAATGGCCCTGAAACACAATCAATAAGTTCACTGTTTCTACTTTTCAATTTCAGAAAAGATTTTTTTTCCTAACTGTGAGGGCCTTTGGAAGAAACTTCATAAAGTCCACAGAGACAGATAGAACAAGATTAGATTGATTGAAAAGCAATCTGGTCCAACTCTCATCCAAACCCAAAACCACACGGTTGGCTCTTTACTGCCCTTTGCCCACACACCTAGCTGACCTCATTTTATGTCTTTAAACATCTACCTCTGGTTGACTTTCCCGATAGTCTGGTATTTTGTTCCTACTATGTAGCTTTGTTTCACTTCAGGATGCTTTTTTCCCCCCTCATAAAAGACATTTTCTCTAGCCCTGGAACTCCTAAGACATAAGGGAACTATGGCTTACATACAATAATTTGAGCACTAATTTGATTGAGCCTTTTCATATATTATTTTTTTCTCAAGTTCTAACTGGTGGTGGCCCAGCTACCTAAGATCAGTTCCATAAGGCAAGAACCAAACAGATATTTCTTTTGAGAGAAACTCTACAGGTGAGGCTGGGTACTGGAAAGATTCAAGAGGGAAAGCAGGCAGCCCAGGCCTTGCAGTACTTAATGAAAATTTGCCATGGAAACATCAAAGAGATGGACTTTGGACACTCGCAGGTCACCCAGGGTTCACAGAATATTTTACTCAAATCTCCATTGTTCTCAGTACTTCAGAAACACCAGGCACAGACCACATACTCAAGCCATCGCTGACTAAATAAGTAAATAAAATGAACTAAGAGAATAGGTTTCAGAGGCTAACAAACAGCAGGCTTTGTCTCTAAATAGGTAGAATCAATGAGGAAGAAATAACAGTTAGCCCTTTATTTTGAATTCTAGTGAACTTGCAGGGAGCTTTATAGGGCTATAAGATTTGAAAGCAAGAAGAGATCTTTAAATATATTACAACTCCTCTAATGAAAACTGCAAAAATTACTGGGAGAGAAAACAGGGAGGATGATGACTTGCTGAAAATCCCAAGTAAATATAATGATGTATATTTATAAAGCACCTTAGAGCTCACAAACCACCCTCCAAATCATGATTTCATTTACTCCTTATGACCAGCTGTACAAGTTGGGGGAGCAGTGATTGGTGACCCAGACTACACATGAGGGTGTGCAGTCAGTAGATTAATTCTGCACTACAAAGTCCAACTCGCAACCACATCTGTTAGTGTAGAGTTGAAATTTGAACTCAAGTCTATGGACTTCTAATGCTCCAACCATATGCTTTCCCTCACAAATGTTCTGCCCTTTGGAGTTCATTAACCTGAAGCTGTAGATTAAAAGAGCAAGGGTTCTGGGGAACAAAAGTCTCCAGCTATAGTTTGCTTTTCAGATAACTATGTTGAGCAACTAATTTTGCTCCAATGTCTCCATGCATATGGGGATCTTGACCAAATTAACTTTTTGTAGCCCGTGTTTTGCCAATTTCATGCTGTGGTTCATAACCTAAGGGCTCTTTTCCTACTTCTTCCTATCCTTTCTTCAAGCCAAATTTAATCAGCATCCTCTTTTTATACTTCCCTCATTTCCATAAAAATATAATCTCTGCTTTGGAAGCATCACACTTATCTCCTTTGCTCTTTATATTTTTCTTGTATTTATTTCTATAGTTCTGTGATCATGCCATTATAGTTCTGAGATCATGTCACTTAACTGTAAACTGCATAAGGTTAGAGTCTGCATTTTGTTTTCTGCTATACCTCTAATGTCAAACATTTTGAACAGTACCTGATACAGAGAAGGTACTCAAAAGTATGTTAAATGAATGGATTGTACTGACAGTATATTATCCATTTCAGTAATCTCCTGGAGTACCCATCAATGTCTGGAAAATAGTATGCAGTAAATTTTTTGCATTTAATGGCAAATAATGGATTCATATATTTAATGACAACATAAATGAAGAAGACAAAATCTTAACAGAATAACATGCTTAACAAGAAAAAAATGACCTTTTTTATAAGCTCCAATTAAAAGTTCAATTATAAGACTAACAGAGAGACATCAATATTTTTGTCCCTGGATTTCAGGGAAAGTTGTGAAGAACAAGGAATGTGAAAGCTGGGCATCTACAAGCTGTTCACTTTTTATCTTGCATGCTGGAACCTTTGGCAAGAGCATGACTCCCTTGCTCTGGTTTCCTGTCCTGCTTGGTGTTTGTTAAACATGCTTGATTTTCTCTTTAATGTATTCACTGCCTGCTATAAACCAGAGATTTCCTCATTTTAATTTTACATGTCTAGTTTCATTCTGGAATCCAGACATCTGTATTCATCCCTGTAATAGTACTGATGTTTAACTAATCTTTTCACCTTTGCAGAACTCAGTGGGTATCAGAATTGAGGATTATTCTTTAAATTAATGAGGCTTTGTCCATGCTTTATCTATCCATACTACTTCCCTAATCTCTAAGGAAATACAAAATAGAAATCAATAAGCCAGTAATGTCTTTATCACCCACCAACAATCTCTCCTTTCGTCTTGTTTGATCATTTTTTTTTTTCCTACCGGGGATTGTAATGGAGACCTTGAGCTTGCAAGGCAGGTGGTGGCACCACTGAGCTAAATCCCCGGTCCCTGATCATTTTTTTTTTTTTTAATTAGTTCTTTCCACAGGATTTGATACACAGCGTATCTGGCCTTCATGGTATGCCAGCTGCTTTATATTCATTTCTGTATTAAGTTGTGATTATGTCCGTTTGTTTTCTGTGTTGCTTCCTCTACCCCTTCGATTTAACCCTCTCAACTTTCTTTGCCTCACTCACTCCTATGTGCATTCAGGAATCCAGGATCCGGTCTTTTGAGTCACTGACTTCCCAGACCCCTCTGTGCTCTTATTGTCACTTCTCTTTCCAGGTCAGTTTTCCTGGATGTCCTTTGTTTTGCCATTCTTGGACCCTACACCTTAATATTTTCCCACATAAGACCTCTTTGAGCAAGTATTCCAGCAAACACTATTTTGCTATTACCTCATATCTATGCCCTGAGCTATTCATATCTGTATCCACTTGCTTGCATCCCCATTTCTTCCTTAAGTCTGTCCCAAGTAAATGGGCAATCACAGTCCTTATTGCTCCCCATCTTGTTAGGCAGCTGACATTGTCATTTACACAGCTTAATGTTCTTATTATCAAATTTTTTATTTAAGTAAAAACTTCAAGACTGGTTGATTTTTCTCTCCAATGAGGAGTGACTGGCATTTGGAGCCCTTGCCTCCATGAATGCATCTAAATAGAATTTACACTCAAGTCAAGATGTTGGTAAAATTTTACTAATCTGGCTAACTTTCAGTAATGCACCAGACAACAATCTGATTAAGATAAGCTCCTGGAAAAATCCAATTTATGAGATGATACAATCTTACCTGTAGTTTTGTTGTATACATTTTGGCCTCCAAGAGTTGCAACTTTGGTAAAACTTTCATTTCAGAAAAGGTAGACAAGTGTCCTGGGCTTGGGTGGTAGGACGGCATGGCTAGGAGCTGTGTGCTGACATGTAATAACCTATGAACGGAAATGAGTAGACAAAGCTAGGGTGAGACACTCTTCTCCAGGCCCCTCACATCTCCATTAGGCCGAGTTAGGTGTCACCTTATCTAAGGTCAATATTCCAATCACTTGAAAGAATCTTACCTCAAAGAAAGTTTGGGTTCCCAGGAAATTGCTCCAAGATACAATTTTTCATCATAACACTTGTGCATGAAGCAATTTGTGCACATCCTGAGGCATGATCTATCCAGTTCCTTACATAAATGCTTTTACTTGCAGTGCTTCCCAAGCTTTCCGTCATGTGTTCTCAAAATTGCTTTCTGCACTCCACTTTTGGCAACATTCAGACTGAGGGGTGATGCATTCGTTCATTCATATCTCTTACACGTGGGAGGAAGGAGTGTGGTAACCAACCTTCCAGATTACTACCAATGATCATTGATTTCTGGAGTTCCTGTTTTTGAGTGGGCCAACCTGTGCAACCAGTGGGTTACTATGGACATAATAGTGTGAACCTTTCTAGGCTAGTTCATAAATCACATTGTGACTGGTGTCTTCTACTCAAGTTTTGGACAATTTGTTATGCAGTGAGAGACAGTTGATTTTATATTATTGGTATTAAATTCACATGACTTAAAATGTTCTATTTTGAAGTGATTGATTCATTGATGTTAGCAACATTTACAGTGTTATGGAACTATCTCCTCTACCTACTTTCAAAACTTTTTCCTTACCTCTAAAGGAACCACCACACGCATTAAGCAATTAGTCCTTGTCTCTCTTTCCCCCAGCCTCTGGCAATTAACAATCTGTTTGTAAGGACTTAGCTATTCTAGTAGGTCATATAAATGTAATTACATAATCTGTATCTTTTACTTTCATTTAAAAGTTCATCCATGCTGTAATATCTATACGTTCTTCATTTCTTTTTATAGCTAATATTTCTCTGTATGTATGTTTTGAAGAATGAGATTATCAAGTCATACAGTAATTTTATATTCAACTCTTTGAGAAACCACTGAACTCTTTTCCATTGGTGTTGAATAATTTTACATTCCCACTAGCAACATGTAAGGGCTCTGTTTCTCCACATCCTTACCAATTCTTGTTATGTTTTTATTGTAGACATTTTAGTGGGTATGAGATGGCATCTCATTGTGGCTTTGATTTGCATTTTCCCAATAAAGGAATCAGTATTTAAAACATGGGCTATCAAGGTGTGGATTTGGTCCATAGGAGGAATGGTACATTTAAGTGTTCCAGTCACTAACTCATTGATTCACTCAATGAACAAACATCCCCTGAGCACTTTCTACAGAGTAGGCCCTGATAGCTGCGGAGATCTTAAAGATGAAGAAGGCAAAATCTTTTCCTTAAAGATCCCTTGGCCAATCATTATACTCACAATTTTGACTTTCTGTCAACTGGGTGACATGAGATGTTTAATTTAGCATGAATTTGAAATCTATTCTAATTGTAAGCAGTTTTTAAGGTGACAAGAAGAAGTGGTAGAAGACTTAGACTCAAGTGGGATTCAGAAGCCAAGGTTCTGAGAGTCCATTAAACAACATTGTTAAGCTTGTGGTTTTGTTTAGGGCCGAACCTTCCCAGGATAAATAAGTGAGTCTTTCCTTGCAGCTCCTACTTAGCTCCTCTCAGCACCTGTCCGGTGCCACTAGGGCTGGATCTGGATTTCCTTTCTCTGAAGGATAACACAGCTGAAAACACAACTTTGTGACTTGGCTTGGAGTAGGTTTGGAGTTAGGTTGGTTAGTGGGAGAGGGGGTTGGGTGTTTTGCCCTTTAACTCTCAGTTCCTATCCCTGAGCCTGAACTTTGGGCCAGACTCCACTCCTTCTGTCCCTGATCAACACAGCATTTGCCAAGAATGGCCCCTGCCCATTCTAATGCTGCCATAGTTTTGCTCATTCCTTTAACTTAGAAAGATTGGGAATTGTAAAATTTGCTTATACTGAGCTTGAATCCTACTGCCTCTCTGCCTTCACCCCCTGCAATTTCTCCACTCACCTCAGCTCTTACCACCTTCACTTCTTCACTCTTTTTTCCTCAGGGACTTTGCATAGTCTATTTTGTCTGTCTGGAACATTCCCACTCAAGAATCCTTATATTTTATTCCTTCAAAATGGAACCTCAATTAGGCCTTCCCTTATCCCTCTATATAAACTGCAAACGTCTCTATCACTCTTAACATTTCTGTCCCTGTTCCTTGTTTTATTTTATTTTTTTCCATCTCACTGATCACAGCCAAGCATACTTTGTGCTTTACTTGTGTTTATTTCTCTAGGACATAAGCTCCACAAAGATGGGGACTTTATCTACTTTGCTGCTTGCTTTATTCTCAGCTTATAGCACAATGCCTATACTTGGGAGATAATAAATAATTGTAAACAAAAGAGTAAGAGCCTTAAAGTAAAAGGCAAGAGTGTCATGAGAGAGAATAGCAATCAGGATCTAATGTGCAATAAGGGGGAGAGGGAGAAGCCAGGTCTGTCAGCTGCATCCAAGCCCTGGGGCCCTGGGAGAGTGGGAGTGGGATTAGTGATTGCTGCCTTGTCTCTTGGGGTTGGGCAGAAGGGGCAGCTGCTGGATCCACTTTATTTCAATTTTCCGCCTGGGAATTGATATGTGGGTAAGACCAAAGTGGTTTCTTGATAAAGCAAGAACTTGTCAAGGGGGATTTCTGAGCCATTTTGTACATCAAATCGATAGAGGTGTTAATCCTCAATCTAGATTACAGAATGACCCAGCTTCGGACTTCGGCTTTCAACTCCAGTACAGATTAACTGACTGTCAAGGGCTCTAGTTGCCAGCAGACAAGACTTGCTGTGAAGAATGTCAGACATGCATGGCAGAGACATGGACATCCGGGCCCAGCTCCTCCCTGAGAGGGCACAGGGGTAGTCAGGATGAGTTCCTGGAAGGTCCAGAGCAGGAGGAATCCTATTTTGTGCCAGATTATAGGGTGAGATTGCCTGGCTCTTATGCTTTAAGGAAATATTGTGACCTAAGAGAAGAGAATGACAGGCAGATGAGCATAATCAAAACATTTTTCCTTTTTAACAGTAAATTTTTAAGTAGAATGAAAATGTTACTAAGCATATTGAAATTAAAGTTGACTCCCTCACAATAATAATATGATTATTCTTTTGTAGTCTCTCCTGGTATTTTCTCATATGAATCCATCCATTAACATAGTTTCTATAAATGAATATGTCTTGAGTTTTTTACTTTTATATATTCCAAGTAGCCATTCACATTCTGATAGGAAGAGTTGCTTTTTCTAATTATATGTATAACGTCTTTCTGTGAAAACATGATCATTGTTTCTTATTTTTCTTTTTTTACCCCATTCTTTTTCTTTTTTAAATCAAAACATTTAGATATGTGTACATTTTATGTACATATATGGTACATTTTAGATATATATATATAATGATAACATTCATCATAGGGAATTTGCACCTACACATGATATATCACGCTTCTTCTTTTTTCCCATTCCCCCTCCCCTCAACCCCCCACCCCTTCATACAAAAGCTGTATTTCCATTTTTTCCTTCTGTTTTCACTTGTTCTTTCCAATCTTGTCTGATCTCTGGAGCAAAGCAGGTTGGGCCTGATTAGTACTTTGATGGGAGTCTTATTTTTCTTTAAAATAAACTCCGAATAAATCCAAGACAAAATATTTTGACACATTCTAATATATGGGTATAATATACTGCCAAACCACTTTCTAAAATATTACATTAATTTTCACTTCCAGTCATAGTGTATGAGGATACAAATTTTTTTCTTTTAATGTAATACAAGTAGATATTAATAAAGAAAATAAAAAACACTTCTATGAAAAATAATATTTCATTACAAAATAATTAGAAAGTAACAATGGTAAATATACTCTGTATCACGGTCCTAAAAGAATATATTTTCAGTTGCTAATCAATCTCTCAGCTCATCTCCAAAGAAAACTATACCTTATTTTTTGCATAAAACATTTTAATTATTAACAAAGTATCTGTACTAAGTATCAGTACTATTTTGACTAATTTCTTCCTATTTCACAGTATCTGTTATACATTTTGGTCCTTATTTACACTTTCAGTTTCTCACATCAGAGAGACAATGTGGTATTTACATGTGTGTTCAATTTATTTCAGTTAAGAGTATGGTCTCAAGGTGCATCCATTTACCTAGAAATATCTCAATTTTATCCTTCTTTCTGGCAGAGTAGTACTCCATTATAGGAAAAAACCCCACATCTTTTTATCCATTCCTCAGTTGACGGTCATGTGGGTTGTTTCCAAGATTTACAAACTGTCCTATTACAAACTGTGCTGCTATAAACATGTGTGCACATATATCACTGTGGTATAATGCTTTTAATTCTTTTGGGGAGATACCCAGAAGGGGAATAGCTGGATCAAACGGGACCTCTAATCCTAGTTTCTTGAGGAATCTCTACACTGATTTCCACAATCTACACTCCCACCAATAGTGGAGAAGTGTTCCTTTTTCTCCACACCCCATCAGCATTTGTTGTTGGTTGATTTCTTGATAATAGCCATTCTTTCTGGAGTGGGATGGAATCTCAACATCGTTTTAATTTGCATGTCTTGAATGACCAGTGATGTTGAACATTTTTTCATATATTTATTTGACATTTGTGCTTCTTCATCTGAGAAGTGTCTATTTATCTCAGATGGCCATTTTTGGGTCTGGTCTTTAAATTTGGGGGATCTGATTTTTTTCAGTTTTTTATATGTTCTAGATATTAGTCCTTTGTCTGAGGAGCAATAGGCTAAAATTTTTTCCCCATTCTCTGGGTTGTCTTTTCACTCTGTTGGTGATTTATTTTGCTTTTACAAAAGCTTTTTAATAAGATGAGATCCCGTGGGAGGCCTTGCCCCCCCCCAGAACTCTTGAGTGCCTTTTACGGGCATGTCTGGGCCTGTTGCAAGTCTACCCGGCAACAAGGAAGTA